TCCAGGTGCCCTTTCAGCAGTCTCCTCTCACAGGCCCTAATTTTTCACATATGTAAGATGCTGAATTTTTGTTCTTTTTTTTCTCTTGTCATTCATGGGGCTTGAACTCAGGACCTGGCCACTGTCCCTGAGATCTTTTTGCTCAGGCTAGCACTCTACCACAGCACCACTTCTGCTTTTCTGGTGGTTAATTGGAGATCGTCTCATGGATTTTCCTGCCTGTTCTGGCTTTGAACTGCAATCCTCAGATCTGAGCCTCCTCAGTAGTTAGGATTATAGGCATGACCCACCAGGGCTCAGGAAGATGCCAGTTTTCTAGAGACCTGCAGACCAAGAAGTAGTATTCCTTCATGATCACTTCACTGTGGGTACTCTTCTCCACCCCTAGGCCCATGAACCAGGAGGAGCCTGGGGGAACAATAAGACAGCAAGGAAATTGGTTACTAGAAGAATGACTAGTGACACATTTGCGGCTACACGCTTGAGTCTTGCCCACTGTGACTGGAAGCCAGGCTACTTCTAAGAACCTAAGTTCTAATTCCTACTAGAGGAAGCAGCAGGTTAGGAGACCTGCTATGATCTTGAAAAGCCCCCATCCCCAGCTGCTTTCCAACCATAACGCCATTCCCTAAATCTTCATTCGCCCCATATTCTTGTCTCTAGCTTTGGTTCCCAGCAGGGAATCTAAGTCCATCCAGCGTCTTGTTGGATTGGTAAATAATGACACCTGGTGGACAGACACCTGGTCTACATTCTAGAAGTCCATCCTGACTGGCCTGGGTCTGAAACACTAGGGAAGGGAACTTGGCCTTAAAGAGTGCCATCTTGGGCTGGGAAGGTGGCTCAGTGGTAGAGCGCTTACCTTGCAAGCCTGAGGCCCTGGGTTTGATTCCTCAGCACCACATAAGCAAAAAGCAAAAAGCTGGAAGTGGCGCTATGGCTCAAGTGGTAGAGCGCTAGCCTTGAGCTGAAGAGCTGAGGGACAGCGCCCCAGGCCCAGAGTTCAGGCCCCATGACCGGACCCCCCAAAAAATAAATAAATAAAAAAATAAAGAGTGCCATCTTGGTTGGGAAGGTGGCTCAGTGGTAGAGTGTTTGCCTTGCATGCATGAGGCCCTGGGTTTGACTCCTCAGCACCATATACGCAGAAAACGCCGGAAGTGGCGCTGTGGCTTAAGTGGTAGAGTGCTAGCCTTGAGCTGAAGAGCTGGGGGACAGCACCCAGAGTGCCATCTTTTGCAAGAGTTTGCTTTTATTATTAAAAACAATCACTCTGTTACTATAATAAAACTTAACAAGTAAAACTAGTATGGCTATATACTAGGTTTCCTGGACCTTGATCAAGAGCCTTCCTTTTGGAAGGACAAAGGATGAACAAATACAGCAGTGGTACTCACTACACATTATGTTGAAAATGAACTATACAACTTGTGGGTGGGGATAGGAGGGAAAAACTGGGAGAGAGCAAGGGAAAGGGTGACACTGTCCAAAAAGAAATATACTCATTACCTGACATATAACTGTAACCCCTGTGTACATCTTTATAATAACAATAAAAAATAATAAAAAGAACCTTCCTCTGAGCAATGTGTGTGTGTGTGTGTGTGTGTACTGGGGATTGAAATAAGGCCTGGACACTGTGTCTTAGTTTTTTGCTGGTGCTCTGCCATTTAAGCCACAGCTAGACTTCTAGTTTTCTGGTGGTTAATTGGAGATAAGAGTTTCAGGGAACTTCTGTCCAGGCTTGCTTTGAATAGTGATCCTGAGATCCCGAGTAGCCAGGATTCAGGCATAAGCTACCAGTGCTGGGCTTTCTTTGGGCAACCAAGCCCGCACAGTCTGCTCTTTCTGTTCTCAGGCCCTTGCAATGCTCAATAGCCATTAGATGGGTAGTGGCCTTTAGGAAAGACTTATAGTTTCATCATTTTGTTTTTCAAAGGTAGTCTTTGCAGTAAAAGAGGGGGATAGGAACACCTGAGTATGGACTCTGGCCTTTGCTACTTCTCATGTAACCCTGCAGTGGGTTACATGGGGTGTGGCAAACTCCAGTCCTGCTGTTTTTTGACCTCTTGAGCCTAGGTCTTGATGTCCTGCTTCTTACTCATAGAACTAGCCAGAGCAGTCCTGATATTCCTCAGGAGTGGGTCTCCTTGAGGTTCTTTGGCTAACTGACGGGGTGCCTCATGGACACACTCACAGGGAAGTGGTGAGGGCCCCATATTGTGGATGATGAGTACTTTACCTTCAAAGCTTCTCTAGTCAGGAGTGAGACTCAGACATTCCAAGCCAAGATCTCTGGCAATCACACAGCATTGAATCGGTCTTTTAATGCTGCAGGTCAGCTGACCCTTGCCACAGCTAGAATGACCACAGAAAGGACTCCAGGAACCTATTCTTTTTAGCACTATTCCAGAAACTCTGAGCTAACTACACACATTTAGCCAACAGAAAAGACTAGAAATGCAACCCTGAGTTCTAGAATGGGTGAGAAACATGTCAGGTTCTGGAGCCATGAGACCTGGTGCTAAGCCAGCTGCTCACCTTGGAAGAGCTGGTGTGTGTGGCTCCAGACTGCTGGTGTTGGGTTCTTTCTTGCATCTCTTCTGTGGCTGTCTCTGCCGTGTGCTTTCACTCACTCAGATAGTCCTGCTGGACTACAACTGGCTCTGAGGGCACTGGCCCAATTTTTTCCTTGTTCTAAGCTGTGAATGAGCTTTTTAGGCTTTGTTTTGAGTTGAAAAAAGAGAAGAGCTAGGATGTGGAGAAAATAAAAGGTTTTGTGGCCCCCCCCAAAAAAAATACAAAGGTAGGCTCTAAATATTATGTTTATTCATATTATTGATCTTATATAACCAACCTACCTACCTACCTTCCTTCCTTTTCTCCCTCCCTCCTTCCCTCTTTCTTTCTCTCCTTACCTCCCCCCCTTCACCTCTCCTTTCCTTCCTTTTTTCTTTTCATTCTTTCATTGTGCTGCCCAGCTGGTCTCAAACTCCTGGGCTCAAGTGATCCTCGCACCTAGGGCTACTGAGAGAGTTATAGCGCCCACCATTGTGCCAAGGTTAATGTTTTCCAACGGGAGAACACAGAAACAAAAAGGCACAACTGAGACATTTAGAAACATTTAGCACATGAATCAAAAAGGCTGTTGTTTTTTTTTTTAATGTTCTCTTTTCTGTAGTACTATGTGACCATTGGCAGAAAAACTAAGATAATTTTTTTCAGTTACTGATTAAAAATAGTAAGTAAAGAGAGATTAGATAAGACTATAGAAGATAAAAGATAATCTAAACAAAAAAACAGAAACTGGGCCCCCTGGCCCTCACAGGCAGTATCCAGGGCAGCAGGGCTCAGAGGCAAGTAGACTTAAGGTAAGGGAAAAGTTAGGGCAGGGAGGCAAGCTAATGTACCAGCAAGGAGCTATATCAAGCCTGGAGTTAATTTCCAGGTTTTGCTCCCTAGCGTCTATGGGACTTTGGAGAAGTGACTTAACTTCTCTGAACATCATTGTAATATAGGGTAGTCCTTGCGCCTTCCTCCAAGGGCTGTGGTAAGGACCAAGTAGGATCATGCATGTAAATGGGTTCATATGGCGGTGTGTTCCACTATTTTATTGTGGCAAGAGTTGACTTGTTTGAGGTCACCCAGAAGATCTGGCAATCACTGGCCTCAGGCACTGAGCATTCTGATGCTCACAGTGATAGAGATCTAGTAGAAAGGGAGTTGGAATCGGAAAGACTAGGATAGAAATCTCAGGCTTGCCATTTACAAGTGTGGATAAATTTAGGCTGCCCAACTTCTTGCAGGGGTTCTGAGAACTAGATGGTATTATGTAGTGAAGTATGCAGTATCAGCTCCAAGCCCCACACTGGTTAACTTTTACAAACAGCAAATGGACTGATATTTATGAGGACACAGGGCAAGAAAACTGCAAACTATGTGCAGGAAGTTTCTGATGATTGTTTATTCCTATAAACATGTGTTTCTACAGTACAATTCAAAGAATAAACAGAGGCACTTGGCTATAATTTTTACCACAGTCTGCTGTTGAGGGATTTGGTGTGATGACAGGGCTGGTGGTATGTTTGGTGATGGGCTAACTGGAGGCCTCGTGATGAACTGTGTGGGGATCCTTCCTGCCATGATCCGACCCAGGTCTGAGTGCCAAAGATCGTGGTAGAAGAGACACAACAAGCCAAATGTGAGGAGCTAATGTTCTGTTAATTCACTCTAGTCCGAGGATAGGTCCAAGTCTACCTATATCCAAAGGGTTGAGGTGAGTCTGATCTACTTGCCCAATGGGAAAGAACTGTGTCAGTTCAAGCTATCCCTAGGACTCAGAGCTCTATGAGACAGTTCTGAAGTGGACTAGCTAGGTCTTCCCTCTGACCTAGAGTGAGCAATAAATACAAGTTATAAGATTACTTTTACAATATTTTTTTTAATTTCATAAAGGGATCCTATCTGACATTTAAGGAAGGAGAGAGGCACAAGTGGGGATTCAATTATCTACTGTAATTCAAGTAAGGAAGACAGCATGTAAAGTCAAGGGAAAAGAAAACAGCAATTTTACTGACTCCTTCACAGAGGGAATAAGCAGAGACAAAGATCAGTCTGATCAGACAAAGTGGTAACCTGGAGCTATGACTTCAATGGCAACGATTAAGGGAGTAGTGTATAGGAAAGCTTTAAGCCAGGTGCCAGTGGCTCACACCTGTAATCCTAGCTACTCAGGAGGCTGAGATCTGAGGACCATGGCTCAAAGCCAGCCCAGGCAGGAAAGTTCATAAAACTCTTATCTCCAATTAACTTCCAGAAAACCGGAAGTGGTGCCATGGCTCAAAGTGGTAGAATGCCAGCCTTGAGTACAAATGCTTAGGGACAGCACCCAGGCCCTGAATTCAAGCCCCACGAATGGACAAAAAAAAAAAAAAAAAAACCCAAAAACCAAACAAACAAAAAGAAAAGCTCTGGCTTTGATTTGCATATAACTACTGTACTTTTTTCCTTATTTCTCTAGAACAACACAAATTACTGGCCCTACGTTGGCGCTATAGGATTAACTGCCCCAAATGTAGGCAGAATGAAAAGATTCTGTATCACTTGGCAGCAAACGGAGTGAGAGCCACAGCACTTTTGCACTGGGTCCCAAGGCCTTAGGAACAAGGAACAGGAACAAATAAATAATAAAGATGGCTCCTCTGTCCTCTGACACATTTGGTCAGGGAAAGATAGAATTGCTAACAACTGCTTCAGGGTCTTGGTCAAAGTCCTCGGCACTTTCCTGTGACCGAATTCCTGATTGGCAGGTGACAGGCACCTTACAAGCTTTAGCTCCAGTCATTTCATCTCATATCTGGTTCACTAATTCACCTGGAGTGAACAAGGGTGTACTGGCTTTACCCGACACTTCTCTGGCTACTGCCCCATCAGGCGGTGAGATTTCTGGCAGATTTGGATGCACTCTGAGCCCGCTGGACCACAGCAGAACACTTCTCACGCCGCAGCAACTTGTTGTTTTCAAAGAGACCTTCATTGCGGGGTATTCCATGAGAACCATCTGGAAAGGTCAGCAGGCCTTTGAGGAGGACAAGGAAACAAGGAAAAATAAGACAACTGCATTAAGGCCTTAGGGATCAGCTTGATACTCAACTAGTGAGTTCAGTGCACATAGTCATGAGGGCATAACCACTATAGATTTCTGGACATCCACAAAGGATTATTAAACTAAGAAGGTATATTTCCACCTCACCAAGGTTATTATCATCCCCCAGGCGGAAACTTACCAAAACCATCTACTCTGCCATTTTTAAATTCCCCCTCAAAGGTCATGTTATCATGTCGAATGAAGACTCCAACGCCATTGAACTTTCCCTGGGCAAACTCTCCCTCATACCTGTAGAGACACCAGGATGTTAGTCTTTTATAGGCAAGTTCCTTGTGCTGGCTAATTGAGTCAAACAGCTGCCTATAGGAGTTAATTAATATAGCCAAGAAGCAAAGTGCAGAGCTCCGCCCATCCTACCTATCCTATCTCTAGCCAGCAGAAAAGTTCAGAAAATATGGATTCAGATCAATGGAGGTGGGATGGAAGGTCACTCATCTCCTTGACATTTCCAATTTCAGATCTATTTAAAAAGTAACCAGGGGCTGGGAATGTGGCTTAGCAGTAAGAGTACTTGACTAGTATGCATGAAGCTCTGGGTTCAATTCCTCAGTACCACATAAACAGAAAAAACCTGAGGTGGCGCTGTGGCTCAAGTGGCAGAATGCTAGCCTTGAGCACAGAGAGGCTTAAGGACAGCTCCCAGGTCCTGAGTTCAAGCTCCAGGACTGGCAAAAACAACAACAACAACAACAAAAACAAAAAATAACCAATAAAAGAACTGCTATTGTTTTCTTCAGGGCCTGGGACAAGTTCAGGATTGACCAGATATTCACCAATGACCTATTTTTAAATCAGAGCCTCTCTAGTTTAAAAGCTGGGAAAGGGGTAAACTAATACTCACCTTGAGCCATCTGAGAAGGTGAGTACCCCAAAGCCATTAAAGAGCCCATTTTCAAAATGACCCAGGTAGGTGCCACCATCTGCAAACAGCAGTTGACCAAAACCATGTCTGCGGCCTAAACAGAGAGAAGGACAGGTGCCAGATTGGAATGGAGAAGCTTTAGGGTCCCATCTCACTTACTTGGCATCTCCTACTTTTCATTACCCTACCCACAAAATGAAAAAACACTGTGGGAGCAACAGGAGAGAATCGGGCACCAGAAACGTAGCTTCTGGGACTTCCCATTTTAAGTCATAGCATCAGATTTGGAGCAGGTCTCTAAATATGAATGTTAAGGAAACTCTTAAAATAACAACAGCTAACATTTATTGTGTCTTTTCTATGTGCCAGCCACCCTTCTAAGCACTTTGTATTTATCGTATATAATCTTCAATATTATAAGACAGCCTCAGTACTATTATTATAGTTTAAAAGCTGGGGAAACAGCCAGGCGCCGTTGGCTCATGTCTATAATCCTAGCTACTCAGGAGACTGAGATCTGAGGATCTTGGTTCAAAGGTACTGGTTAGAGTTAAATTCTGCAGGGAATAAAGTACCTAAAAGTTGGCTACCCATCTTTTTTTTTTTTTTTTGTCTGTCATGAGGCCTGAACTCTGGGCCTGGGCACTGTCCCTCAGCTCTTCAGCTCAAGGCTAGTGCTCTACCACTTTAGCCATAGCACCAGTTCTGGCTTTTTCTGCTTATGTGGTACTGAAGAATCAAACCGAGGGCCTCATGCATGCAAGGCAAGCACTCTACCACTGAGCCACCTTCCCAGTCCTGGCTCCCATCTTCATGTATTTTTCCTTTAGCCAAAGTGTTCATCCCTGGAGAGCCACTGTGGGTCCTTCTTACCTTCCTTCCACTCTCCATGATATTCCTCCCCACTGGAGTAAGTGAAGGAACCTTTTGTCAGTGTCATGATGACAGTTGATGGAAGAAAAGGGTGAAAACTGTAGGAAATAAACAGAAGAAGCAGTGTCAGGGACTGGATGGAAGGATGGACAGCAAAGCCATCACCCATGGAGACATTCTACTAGCCTATTATTTACTACCTTGGGTTCATATAACAAAAACACCCTCCCTCTCCAACTACCACACCACTACATTAGCACCGCGTCTGCCCAATGACTCTTATCCTGCTATGTTTTAAAAGTTTTCAGCTTGTTCCTATTTTCTATGACCTGGGATGGAAGGGGAGGTTTAATCTACAACTACTCATTCAGCATCTACCTTGTTAGTTTAGTTAATGTATAAAATAGTAGTCTCGCTGGGAAGGTGGCTCTGTGGTAGAGTGCTTGCCTTGCATGCATGAGGCCCTGGGTTCGATTCCTCAGCACCACATAAGCAGAAAAAGCCAGAACTGGCACTGTGGTTCAAGTGGTAGAGTGCTAGCCTTGAGCTGAAGGGCTGAGGGACAGCGCCCAGGCCCAGAGCTCAGGCCCCACAACTGACCAAAAATAAATAAATAAATAAAAATAATAATGTCATCTCTCAGTGAAGTTATACTGTAGTTGACTGAATCCACTGAAATTAATGGATGCCAGGAATTAACAAAGACAAATAATGGCACAACTTAAAACAAGCAGTGAAGAAAGCAAACCTGATTGCCACTTGAGAAAGTGGGGAATGTAAGCACAAAGAGCAATGTATACATGGAATATTCAATGGAAAATTAAAGCTTGGTCTGACTACAGATGAAGACCTATTTGTATACTCAGTTGAAAGCTTAATTAAATCAGACAAGAACCCGACAGATCTAGTCCAAACTTCCTCATATTCTAAGTGAACAGACAGAAACTCAGAGTAATTAAAAAGTTTGTTGGGGGCTAAGCTGGGACTAACACACAATCCTTCCCTGACTATAGCTAGTCTTTCAGCACCACCTCTCTGCATTTAGGTCAGGCCAGCCGCGGAGATCTCTGAAGGCTATGCAAAAGACGTCACAGCAGCTCGTAGGAAAGAGGGAGCGCTGAGGAACGTGTGGACAAAGCAGCATTTAAGGAAAGTGAATGCTGCAACGGCAAGTAGGAGGGGGCTGAAGTAGCTGAGTGTAGGCAGAAATGCTCCTAAGGAAGAGATGTAGTAAGTTGGTAGACTGAAAAAGTACACTGGTATTTTTCATTCATCTCCTTGTGATGTGATGGGGGCAGATTCTCCTTTTAAGAGAAAGTTTAGCCAGGAACCATTGGTTGTAATATTAACTATTACATGTAATACTAGCTACTCAGGAGGCTGAGATTTGAGGATTGTGGTTCAAAGCCAGCCTGGGCAGGAAAGTCTATGTGACTCTTACTTCCAATTAACGACCAAAAAGCTGAAAGTGGATCTGTGCTTAAGTGGTAGAGCACCAGCTTTGAGCAAACATCTAAGGGGCAGTGTCAAGGCCCTGAGTTCAAGCCCCAGTAGCAGCGGGTGTGTGCACACATGCGTGTGCAGAGTTCATTCCTTCCTTCCTCTACCCATTAGCTCTTGAGCAGTTCTGGAGAGTGGAATTCAGGGCCTCACACTTTTTTTTTTTGGTGGGTCGTGGGGCCTGAACTCTGGGCCTGGGCACTGTCCCTCAGCTCTTCAGCTCAAGGTTAGCACTCTACCACTTGAGCCACAGCGCCACTTCTGGCTTTTTCTGCTTATGAGGTGCTGAGGAATTGAACCCAGGGCCTCATGCATGCAAGGCAAACACTCTACCAGTGAGCCACCTTCCCAGCCCGGCCTCACACGTTTGAGGCAGGTGCTACACTGCTCAAACTGAAATCTAGCAGAGGCCTATCTTATCCGGTCCTACCCTGTGCCATGCCCGTCCCACCCCATCTCATCCTACCCCAGCATGCTTGCCAAACACAAGATAGCGGCACTGTGGACACTGTCAACAAAAAGAGCTGAGTTTAAATAACTTGGGCAAGCTATTAAGTGTTCTATGTTTCTCAGTTTCCTCATCTATACAGATATAGGCCTATTTCAGAGTTGACAGGTACACTAAACTAAATAACATACATGAATGTACCTAGAAAGCTGCCTGGCCCTGTCCACTAAACGTTGGTTTATTTTCATCCACATTTAGATGTGAGACATCTAAACTCAAATATTTAGTTACTATATAACAGGAACTTCTCTAAAGTCCATGTTCAGTATAAAAGATTGCTAACAACAGAGAGGTGCCAGTGGCTCATGCCTGAAATCCTAGCTACTCAGGAGGTAGAGATCTGAGAATTGTAGTTTGAAGCCAGCCCTAGCAGGAAAGTCCATGAGACTACCAAAAGAAGCTGGAAGTAGAGCTCTAGCCGTGAGTTCAAGCCCCAGAACAGAAAAAAAAAGGCAGCTAACATAATTCAATAAGACTTTGAAATAGAACAATTTAGCGAATTTGACTAATGAGGCAAATATTAAGTAGATGAAAAACAAACTATAGTTGCTACCCATTTGTTCTTCTTCAGTACCCTATGGGATATCTTAACTTTGGCCATTTTTGATTCTAATCTCCCAGAAATGGACTGATGTGACAACAGCCTGACCTGATCCCAGAGCAGCTTCTTCACATTCTGTAGGACAAGGCCTTGTCTCTAAGCTCTCATTTTCAGACATAAGGCCATATTAGTCCTGAGCATCTCTGGGTTCGCATCTAAAAATGGAGAAATATTTTCTAGCTCCATAAGGACAGAACAGCCAGCTTTGCAGAGGTTCTTTGAGACCTGTTGAGCTCACTTGTAAGGGATCTGTTAATTTCTCCAATCACCAGAGGGCAACTTTATGTCTAAGATCCTTCATATAGAATAAAGTATCTTTAGGGAAGGGCCATCCACCTCCTCCCCCAGCACCCCTCCCCCCCAAGTCCTGTACTAACCTTTTCAAATCTCCAGGGCCTATTTTCACAGAGGTGATGCACAGTTAGTGACTGCTGTGCCCTCTCTGTCCTATCAATGTCCCATGGGGTCAGTATCCGATTTCAGGCTCACAAGCCTCTTATCGTCAGCCTGGCATCAGAGCATGCTGGGGTGGAGGTCAATATGACTCTACTGCAAATACAACATTAATGAGAGGAAGAGAAACAGTTTCCCATCAGAATTGCAGAAGAAAATTCTTCTTAGTTCAGTTGAGTAATTCAGTAACCTTCTGCCAATCTTTGACTGTTTCTACAATAAATTAAGACACAGCATTAAAGGTCGACCGATGGTACAAATTAGAAATATTTAATTCATTCAAAACACATTCATTGGAATCTAAAAGGCTACAAAATATCACAACAAAGCCTTAAAAAACATACTTTTACTTTTAGTGATCCTAAAGTTTGAATTTAGGGCCTCAAACTTGCTAGGCAGTTTAGTTTACCACTTGAACTACACCTCCAGACTATAACTAGGCTATCTTAAAACTAAATCTGTAACTATGAAAACTTAAAGATAAAGGCATTTCCTTTAAGTATTTGGTAGTAGATAACTAATCTACTTAAAATTTGGAGAGTGGTCAGATAATGGTGGCTCGCATCTATAATCCTAGTTACCCAAGAGACTTAGGTCTGAAGACCATGGTTTGAAGCCAGCCATTTAAACTCTTATTCTCTACTTAACCAGTAAAAAAACAGAAGTGGAACTGTGGCTCAAGTGATAGAGCATCAGCTTTGAGTGAGGCCCTAAGTTCAAGTCCCAGTACTAGCATTAGAAAAAAAAAAGATGGAAAGAGTTACTATAGTAGAATTTGAAGAACCACAATGGGTACACAGGACTGAGGTGTATTTATTTACTTTACTTGAAACTTCCAGAGTGGCATCCCACCCTGTTTCAAATGGATTGGTAAAGAGTCCCTGGAAAAAAACAAAACAAAACAGAAGGGAATATTTCTTTAGTATGAGGATGCTCAACAGCCAAAGTATTTACTATACATGCCCTTAAGATGTAAGCCTAACTACATTTTGTGTGTGTGTGTGATATCAGATCTTGGGTTTACACTTTATTTATTTCAAAGACAAGAGTTTTACTGTACAATCTAGGCTTGTCTTGAACTTAATCCTTAGGACTTCACCTCCAGAGTACTGGGAATATGGGCTGTGCCACAACAACTGGTAAAAAGTTATCTTCTTATTACTGAATGTCACAGATTGTATTTTCCAAATGTGTGTGCAGGGGCTGGGAAGGTGGCTCAGTGGTAGAGCGCTTGCCTTGCATGCCTGAGGCCCTAGGTTTGATTCCTCAGCACCACATAAGCTAAAAGAAAAAAAAAGCCAGAAGTGGTGCTGTGGCAAGTGGTAGAGCACTGGCCTTGATCTGAAGAGCTGAGGGACAGTGCCCAGGCCCAGAGTTCAGGCCCCAGGACTGGACCCAAAACAAAAACAAAAACAAAAAACCAAATGTGTGTGCAATAGTATCTCCTCTTACACATTCTTTTATAATCTGACTGTGACACTAACCCATCAAAGGATAGTCTCAACTTCTCTCTCTGGAATCAGAATAGGCTTCTTAAGTTTTAACCAATACTACGCTACTGGAAAGTGATGGGTGTTGTAAGGTTTTATCACATAAGGTGATGTGACTTCCACCTAGCTGACTTCCATATGCACAATTGGAGTCCTGATCCACCAGTAAAGCAGTTCAACTGTCCAAAGCTCCCATGCAATGAGGAAGCCAAGCCAAATGGAGAGATCATGTGCTCTTCCAGTTTGAATCATCCTAACCCAGGAACCAAGCCTCAATTAAGGAACCTTTATGATTCCATCTCCCAGAAATGGATCCACATTTCATCTGAGATATTATAGAATACAGACAAGACATTTACATGGTGGTGTTATTTTTTTTTCAATTCTTTAAAAATCAAACTTGGCTGGATAGCAGGGATTCATGTCTGCAATCCTAACTCCTTGGGAGGCTGACATCTGAGGATCCAGGTTTGAAGCCAGCCTGTGCAGAAAAATCTGTGAGACTTTTATCTCCCCCCAATTAACCACCAAAAATCTGGAAGTGGAGCTGTGGCTCAAGTGCTAAAGCATCAACCTTGTGAGTGGTGGGGAAGGGAATAATAATACAAGGGGAATAGATTTTCAGTTAGCTACTAGTATTTAGAGGCAGTTCCTTAACTACCCACATACATTTTCAAATTGTTCCCCAAAGCCACCTCTCCTAGGATATGACAGTTATAAAAGTTCTTTTACACAAAAGAAAGCATTTTAGGCTTTTTGAATCCTAAATAGGTGAAAACGAAAGTTCTGATGAACAAAGATTAAGTTTTTTAGGAAACAAAAACAAAAACTCAAATACTCTATAGGTTTATAAATGAGATAGAGATATTTTTTTTCTTGTTTGCTGTCCCCTCTTGCCCTCCCTCTCCCTGCTGGGAATAAAATAGTCTTTTAAAATTATAACTTTAATGCTACTTTCCTTCTTTTGAAAAGTAAACAATTGTATCATTCACTATATAAAGGTCTTATTCAGGAAGACCGTGGGATGATTAGATTCGAGGTGAAAAGAAAACAGTTGGTACCAGAAAGGTTTCTAAAAATATCACAAGGGATAGGGGGTGTGGTTCAAAGTGATACAACTCCTCCTAGCAAGTGTAAGTCCCTGAGTTCAATCCCGGTATCTCCAGAAAAACAAAACATCACACACACACACACACACACACACACACACACACACACACACACACACACACACACACACACACACACACAC